GTCTAGAGGTGGGGCAGGGCTTACCACCCTCCCTACAACCTTCACATGTTTACCAACCTGAAGTTCTGAGATTTTGTTTTAAAGGGAAAGTAATATAGGGAAGAATTAGAAGCATAAGTTCCTAAAAAAACTAATAAACAATGCATATTGAAACTATCTATAGGAAATGGGAATGCAGTCATTCACAAGGTCAAGAACTTTTTGAAATCTATGGTTGTTCGGAGGATCAGAAGCAAGCTGGGAAGAACTCAAGAAACCCACAAATCTGTGCCTGTTATCTCCTGAGCGGATCCCTGCGAGTGCTTCCTTGCTTTCATCCTGGTGCTTCTTCCTCCGCTTTGCACACGACAACCAGAGTGACCTTTTCATTCCTTCACTTAAATTCCTTCAGTGGCTTCCCATTTTTCTTGGGCCAATGACCAATGTTCTTACTAGCTCCTACATGGTCGGGCTCATCCTTCCAGCTTCACACTGCATCACTTTCCTGTGCCCTCTGCAGCCACAATGACCCTCATTCAGTTATTAGAACACACCAAGGTACCCTTGACCCCCATGCTCTTTCTTCTGCTCCCTTTCCATCTAATTAACTGCCGCTTGTCATAGAAAATTAAGCTTAGATGTTCCTTCCTCAGGGGAACCTTTCCTGATCCCCCATTTTAGGTCAGGTCTGTTTCTTAAGGGCTCTCAAAGTTTCTTTCCTTCAGGGTACCTGTCTCAGTTTGCAATTGTATATTAGCATGATTGTTAAGTTTATGTCCGTGTGACTTTGTAACTGTGTAAGTTTATGTCATTGTTCCAGCTTGAGGAAAAAAGTCTCGCTAAGACTGGCCATGAATCTGCTTCCCTTCCACACCTCAATTTCTCTCTGTATTTCCAGGATTTCACTTTGTATCTGATGTGTGTGGACAAGAAAAGGGTTGTCCTCACAAAGTGGTTGGAAGGGGACTGATCAAAGTTTTTAGATGATCACGGGTACTGTGCTGCCAGTGCAACGGGAGGACTCCTGTCTCATTTGGCTCACTAGTGCCGTCACCAGATGGTGCTTTGCTTGCAAGGGAGATAGGTGGCATTTGGATGGTGGCCCCTCCCTCTTGGTCTGACCCCTTGGCCCTATGCCCTTGACTTTCTCTCGTCATGATCCCTCCCCCTCTTTCTTCCCTTCCTCCACACTCCTTCCTGGTCCTATAACTGTCTCTCATTTGATGGAATTGGTAGGGGAGAGAATGCTAGAATACAGTACTTCTTCCCATACATCAATTGGGTAATTAAAAAAATCTGGGGCGCCTGGGTGGCTCAGTTGAGTAAGCATCTGACTTCGGCTCAGTTCATGATCTTGCGGTTTGTGAGTTCAAGCCCCACGTCGGTCTCTGTGCTGACGGCTCAGAGCCTGAAGCCTGCCTCAGATTCTATCTCTCCCTCTCTCTCTGTCCCTCCCCCACTCATGCTCTGTTTCTCTCAAAAATCAATTAATATTGAAAAATTAAAAAAAAATCTTGTACCTCCATTTTAGCTTTTAAAACTGAAGTAAAAATTTGGCTATTTTAAGCTCCAATTCCTCTGTGATAATATTTCCCTGAGGCAGTAGATGTCTTGTGTCTAACTGCCCAAATGAAGAAGAGTCATAGAGAAAAAGAAGAGAGTAGGTAATAAACACATTGGCTATTACACAAAATGGTTACCCAATCACGTGTCTCCTCCTATCAAACCGTGGAAATAGAGATCACGTCTGTTCTCACCCAACGTTGTATCATCAGTATCTAGTGTAGTATCTGGCATTGGGCACCCGGTACTTATTTGTTGAATGAATGAACAAATGAATAATTGAACAAGGAGGTAAATGAAGAACAAGGAGGCAAGAGCCCACATGACTGATTTTGAAATGAAGAGCTTGGAAAGGTGGAGCTGGTAGCCAAAGACAGAGCCCCGTAGTCCAGAGGAGACAAGACAGATAAAATCAGAAAGACCAACTATCTGGTGGATTAAGAAAGAGGAATTAACTCAAAAAACAAATGGTCTGTGAAGATAGGAAAATAGGTTACTGTAGAGTCAGAGCAAAGGCCATGGGAATTTTCTAGTCAAAGAGGTTGCTGAAAACTTAAGTTAGCTTTGAATAGAAGGCAAAAGTTCAATCTACAGCCTCCAAATTAATATTAAGAGGTATTAAGAGTGTTTTATAATAATGAAGGATTTCTGAACGCCAGACATGACTGTACAAAACACTTCAATCTCATCATCACATTTCGTACTCATAATAAACCTGCGAGGCAGTGTTTTTTCACCAGTTTTACAGACAAAGAAACTGAGGCTCAAAGAGCATGATAACTTGCCCAACGTGACTCAGTAATAAGTGGAAGAACTGAGAATTAAATTCAGGTCAGAGAGAACCCAGAGTCAGAGTTTTAACCCAGTGCTCATTGATATTCATAAAATGCTTTGTAATTTTCAAAATGCTTTTGACATATATTTGTAGACATTATCCTAACAATACCAAGAGTAGGCAGGGCAGACGGCTTCATCCCCACCTTACAAGTGTGCCCCCGGAAGCCTGAAGAGGCAGTGAGGCTTACCCAAGGTCACAACTCACACGCAGGTCTGGTCTTACCACTGTATAGGTTTTCCTTCCAGAGAAGTAGGCCTAACAAGGTGACTTAGCAGCATAAGTTGTTCTGGAAAGAATAAAGACAAATGGTGCCTGTCTTACAACTTATTGAGGGTTTACAACCTGAGCTGCCATTGGTCAGGGAGATGGGGTGATAGTTAAAGATAATAAAATCTACATAACTTGACTTGAGTGATTCTGATATTACTTAATTGCTTATACTCTGGACCCTCAGGTATATGACCTGTATAAGTTACTTTCTGCACAGGTATGCCTACTTACTTCTGTAATCATGATGACCCATGAGAGCTGCCCATCCATCTACAGGGGCCAGTCTGGCTCCCATGTTTACAGCTTGTGAAATTTGCCCATCCCCTTCTCACCAGGGTTGACGAGAACAGGGTGCAGACCTGACCAGGAGAAGCCAGTTAATTTCTACGTGTGGCCAGAATTGGGGCGGGGGGGGGGGTCCATGAAAAGTGAGCACTGGTTGGGGATGGAGAGGTGGAAGAGGTGGGAGGGGGTTGCTGACTGTGAATTGAGAAACAGAGAAAGCAGATCATGGAGAATAAGGACTGAATGAGTCAGGTGAGAAGAGAGAAGCAGAGACGAGAAACAAAAACGATGCTTCTTCTGGATTCCTAAAGTACTTCCAGCTTCCGGTTCCATTTCTGTGAGGAGACCTGACCACTTTCCTGACTAACTGGAGTTAGGTTTGGTTATCCCAAAGTATCCTGAGTGAGGTTCCCCTTGCTGACTGATGTCGGAGGACTGAAGAGTGGAAAGAAAGACCTATGCCGAGGCTGTTACAGGCCCAGAAAAGATGTGCAGAGGCCAAAACAGAAGTCACTGCCTTGGAGTGATGGCCACTGGATATGTCGTATGAGGCAATGACTTGGGACCACTAGAGATATAAAGACTTGGTAAAGCACCACAGGACTCATGTAGGTGGCAAAGGGCAGGAGGCTTGCCCTCAGGTGTGTGTTGTGTTCCTTTCCTGTTTTTCCTCTTTTGGCTGCTATGGCTGTGGGACCAGGCTTTATGTAGCTTCTCCGTGGACACTTTTCTGTACATTACACGTTTTTTAATGTTTATTTATTTTTGAGAGAGAGAGAGAGAGCCAGTGGGGGAGGGGTAGAGATAGAGGGGGACAGGGAATCAGAACACAGGGCCCAAGGGGGGGGCTTGAACTCATGAACCATGAGATCATGACCTGAGATGACGTTGGGTGTTTAATCGACTGAGCCACCCAGGTGCCCCTGTATATTACAGTTTTGATGAATCCAGATAAGAACGAGGTAGCAAGATGGGGGCTGATGCTGTAACTAACATCTGTCTAGTGCCTATAGCTTACAAAGGGCTTTGGCATCCATTTTAGTGCTGTAATTGCTGGGGCACCCCTTTACCAGCTGTCCCAGCACGGCTTAGTGTATCATAGACCTGAATCCCACAACCTCACCCAGAGGGAGACATTCTCATCCTCAATTTACAGATCAAAAACCAGGACTCACGGAGCTGAAGTGACCTGCTTGTGAATCAGGTGCCAGGGTTTGAACGATGCTTTTGGGCTGCTTTGGGGGTTGCACTCTTTTTTGCCATATGATACTTGCCCCTTTTCTTCATTTCACTCCATTCATCCATGCAGATGAGAGGGAATTCATAAAAAAAAATATACATGGTTAGGTCAAAGTAATGGCAAGGGAAATATTTAAAAATTAGTGAGAATTATAAAATAGGAGTACAGCACAACTCAGTGAAGTCAGGAGCGAAAGGATCTGATCAATTCCATTCAATTCTCTCTGGCAGAGGTGAGAAATGAGGCTCTCATCAATTTTAATTTAATTTAGTTATTTAACAAATTCCACAAATACTTATTGAATTCTTGTCTACTCCATGCCAAGTATTGTATTAGACACTGCAGATAGAAGTTAAAAATACATGGATACAATTTATAGTCCTAATGGACTCTTGAGCCAGCGGGGAGACAGATTTATAACACAGTCTCTATAGGGGCACTGAGGGAAATGGGATATTTACAGGGTGCAACAGGAACTCAAGTAAAGTGCGAATACATGTTTGTGTTTCCCGGGGGGGGGAGTGATCTGGGGATGCTGGAGTCATCACAGAAGACGGGATTGGGCTGGGATGTTAAGGATGAGAGGGAATTTGTTAGGTGGGCATGGAGGTGTTATTAGCAGGAAAAAGATCACTACCTATGCTGTTCATTTCAAGCATCCAGGTGCAGAGGAAGTACGGAAGTTTAGAAGTTGGTTCTGCTACTTCTACTAGCATGTGAATCCATCTTTTTTTCCTGGGATGAATCCTAGAAGCAGGGGCTGAGTAGCAACAGAAAGTGCTTGTTCTAACTCCCCTGCTATAGAATGTCCTGCCTTGAACTTACCATCGGTAGCTGTTCTCCATGCAGGGGTGAGTGTGCATGGACTCTTCTTCTTTGGCTTTTCTTCCATCTGCTAGTGGAAGAGTGAACACAGCAGCCATTGTGACAATATACAATCTGATAAGGCACCAGTTATATTCCTTATTTTCTTGCCACTATTAATTTCATTAGTAATTATCACACTGTGCATTACTTAGGTCGATCTTTGTGTACATGTTTAACTTTCATGCCAGCTGTGTGTTCCATGAAAATGCATTCTTTATTTTTTTGTGCAACTGTTGTTAAACAGTTGTGGTTTCCAGATGGAAACATATACCATCAACATCAACACGCTTTATTAGAAATTTTAATTTGATTGTGGAGTTTGCTAATCAGTAAACAAATGGTCAATTAATATTTAACAATTGAAAAATAATTGCATTGAAATGCTCAGTGATGCCTTTTTGCATAATCTGCACATTGCTTGAAAGAACACTTATTTAAACAAGACATTTTGGGGTGATATAAAATACCTAGAACAGAAGCACAAATTTTGTGAATTCTTAAAACACTTGGGTTTTCCAGATTAGTGAGAGCATCCAATGCAATACTGATTTAATGTAATATATTTTCATAAATGCATTAACAATTGGTGGCCAAAGAGCATGTGACTTGATTTGTCCATTTGCCCAGCACATTCCAAGGCAGGCTACGACTGCATACAGATCATGCATTGAGAAAGACAGGGTGCTTTCTAAATGTGGCCAATACAGTCCCAGTGGGAGCCATTCTCTGAAATGTTTATGCAAGTCGTTGGGATACGTTATTAGTTTTTAAAGTAATTGATTTGCATAAATTCTCAAGAAAGTATTGAATGCCTTGTGCAAAAGCCACAGCGATGTTCAAGGGGAACGGGTGTCCCCTATGTTTCAAAAGCTCACCTATGCCACTTTGCTTTTACGGAAGGCCCTACATTAGTACCTGTTTTTGTTAACTGAAAAAAAAACCCCGAGAACGATTTGTGCTTTTACTGAAAAGGCTAAGAGCAAAAATAGCTTGCAGTGCTTGTTTTGCATGGAGCCCTTACAGAGGCAGTGCACGCCCCCAGCAGAGAGACTGAAGCCACCCAGCTCCTTCCCTGAGAACGGCACTTGGGCATCTCAGCCTCAAGCTGCCACAGCTGTGTCTGTGAGCACCTGTGCTTTATCTTGATTTATTTTGTGCATCTCTTAGCATGATGTCTCCTTAGTTATCAGAAAGACCTAAGAAAGCTGATCTTGGGATCCTCAAAAATGTTTTCCCTATAAATTAATTGCTATTTGGGAATTGGGAATTGCTTCTTTGCTTTCTGCCATTTCCGCTTACGGAAGGTTTCATGTGAACGCTCTACTTTCAGATGGTGGTGGTGCAGGGATCTAAACAGTCTCTGGTAACTCAATTCACGCCGAGTTTGACACAAAAAAGGCACCAGTAAAACAACATGCCCGTAAGGTGGGATCCTAAATGAGTCAAACACTTCAATTGGCCAATATAGTTAAGACCCAAGGATACTTCACGGTCATCCCGGTCATTCTGTGAAGAGCTGATCGTGTTAGAAGGCTTCAGCCTCCTTTGGGGAGTGTATCCAGGGAGAAAGCAATGCAGACAGCATGTTTGGGTCTCGATGGGTTCTATTTCATCCCTCATGGCATTAACATCAACTAGAAGTGGTTGTTATAGCAATACTGACTGAATATCTATCCACCTGCATTGACACTAAGTGGGTGACACTCATTTCCTTCATAACACTTTGTCTTAATTAGTAATTATAAATTTGTTGGTTCAATTATTTTATAAGCACTGGAACTATGTCTTTTTTTTTTTAATCTAAAGTATCAGTTTAGGGGCGCCTGGGAGGCTCAGTCTGTTGAGTGTTCGATTCAGCTCAGGTCATGATCTCACGGCTTGTGAGCCCCATGTCAGGCTCTGTGCTGACAGCTCAGAGCCTGGAGCCTGAATCGGATTCTGTGTCTCCCTCTCTCTCTCTGCCCCTCCCCTGCTCACACTCTGTCTCTGTCTCTCTCTCTCAAAGGTGGATAAACATTTAAAAAAAATTTAAAAAATATTATCAGTTTGTTCCTAGTATCTAACACTTAGTATGTGTTCTGTCTTCTTTGAGGAATAATTGAACCAAATTTATATTTACTGCTTGTTCCACGGAAGTCCAAAATTCATTTGCATCAAGGGCTCCAGTTTGAACCTGAGCTATGACAGCCACTGGGTTCAGATGCAACTGAGTTCATCCCTTTGGATATTGGGAGGCATGCAGAAATCTGCATCTATTTCATTAAATTAATATATATGGGAGGAAGAGGAGTGAAAACATGGCCCCAAAGCTTCTTGTGTGGAGTACCATGACAAAAGAGGGGCCGGAGCTGAAGGATTTGTTTCCATGAGGGCTCTGTGAGATATGATGTTTATGTAAGTGGGTAAGAGACAGTCACCCATTGGTCCCAGGTCCATTCTGGTACCTTAGGGGTTGGTATCTTTGGGAGGGTACAGGTGTCACAGAGACAAATACTCTTAAGAGAGGAGCAGTACCAGTGATAGAGGAGACACATTCAATGAAGTGGACATCTGGAAGGTGGAGGAAAAGGAGAATGTGGCAGAATGGATATGTCACAGACTGGTTTCTGATCCCAAGAGACACCTTTGGTCATTTCCATATACAAATAGGGGAGGATTGGACCCTTTTTAAGTATATGGGGGTGAGGGCTGATGAGATTGTGCATTATTTCTGATTCTATGATGCCATCTTTACCCATAATTCAAGAAGCCTGAGGCAGCTTAGAGTCAGTTCTGCCAGGACATTTTTTAATACTTTGCTAGTTTATTGGTTGACAACCTCTAGTTAATATGGCCAACCAACATATTTAACTGTATCTAATTGTCTTTCAAGCTTCTGGTCCAACAGAAATTCTGGGTTGGAGATTCCATGAATCACAGCAAACCCATTACCTATTCATTATGTGGATGTTCTGATAGGACAGTCAAATTCAAGGAGACTGTATATTCTGGGTGTGGACTCCTAGCCTCACTGCGAAGCTCCAGGAGGGCAAGTTTCCTATCTTAAACACTTCTGTGTCCTCATGACCTAGCCCCATGTCTGGCCCAGAGGAGATGCTCAGAAAATATTTGTTGAACAATGTTTTATTTAACTTTGTAACCCTGACAAGGCAGAGTACATGGAGTTGACTCTTCAAAGAAAATCATTATTTTCATGGAAAAAGGGAAAGGCAAGGCAAGGGAGGGTCTCAACAGTTTCTACAAAACAAGGGTCTGAATCCTTTTTTATTTTCTCTTTAAATCATTTTCCTGCCTTTCTGCTCTGTCTACTCTAACAGCTGCTGCTCTGACCTGCTCCCAAATGTGGCCTTGAAGAAACTATGCTACCTGTCAGCTGGGTTCGTGGGGGCAGATACTATAGCCAGGGCAGGGAATACTCTGAAATATGCCCTGTGTCTTTTTCCTCTAAGTGTCATTCCTTGTACTAAGAAGTTGAATTGTGTGGGATAAGTTCACTGAGATTTGTAGGCTGAAATCTCTGGCTAGGAGACAGGGATGACGTCTAATCACTGCGCCCTGCCTATCCTCACACAACATCACCTCCCTCCCTTAACATCAGCCTAGCCTACGCTTCTTCTAAGTTGATTCTTCTTTGAGAAACACCAAGTATTTGGAACACCACAGATGGCCTGATTCTAATGGATGCTGTCATGGCCTTCTGTAATCAAGACAGTAATTGATGGACAGAGTAAGGACTGAAATAATGATGCAAAACTCTTTAGGTTTCATTGGCCTAGTTAAGCTTCTAGTACCAGAACAAGAAATGTGACTATCTCCTGCCAAGATTGTAGTGGCATCATGCTACCAACATGGTGGGTTAATGGGAAGGACTACATGGGCTGTATGCTCCATAGAAGTGGAGTACACATGGGCAATCCTTCCAGAAGGAACACACCATCAAGGGTTGACTGGGACTCAGTGAGTCAATTTTATTCCCTTCTCGGTGACGTTAGTACGCAGGTAGTGGTGCCATCCCAAGGTACGGGTGTGACACTCCACTCTGAGCAGAGGCTTGGACAAAGATTGACTTTTTCCTTCTCAGTGTCACGATGTTTTGGTTTAATTAAATGGAGCGTTCCCTGCTCCACTTTAAGTTCTATTTATATAAAACATTTCAAGTAAGAATACCATCATGTGATACTTTTCTTGATCAAAATATGTCAATTAATCCAAGTAATTCACTTCTCCAGTCAGTGTATATTTACTGAGGGCCTACTATGTGCCAGATCCTCTTCTAGGCCCTGGGAATATGCCAGTGAACAAATCTTCAAGTAGTCCAGTCCTATTCTAATGAAATTGAGTCTCTACTGCTTTAGAGGCCTGTAGGCTCTCAGATAGCTAGTGATGTTTTAATGGGGTTTGGGCTTTGTTTTCTTATTGTTCACTGTTCCTGTAGAAACAATGACTCAACTTCACCTTTGATTTTTCCCTTCCTTTCCTTGCCTTGACGTTCTTTCATTTCTTTCCTCCCTCCCCCTGCCCCTCTTCCTCCTTTCTTTTTTTCCTTTTCTTCCCGGCCATGTTAGTCTGTCACAAGCACATAAAAGACAGTGACTGACAATTTAATAACAGCGAATGCAGGCCTTGAGATGTCAGTAGGAAGTAGAAAAATAGGAAGCGAAAGGCACAAATGCACCGCCATCTAAAACACAGAGCTCTGCCCACACTTTTTGTTTGTTGTTTGATTATTTATTTATTTATTTATTTGGCAGTCTGGTGACTGTACATTCGGAAGGAATTAGGGATACACTTACTGTACCAGCCAAGTGATAAATGGTGTTAGTGAGGCGGCGGCTGGTAAGTGAAGGACCACCTGATTCGTCCTTTCCGACATTCTCCTGCCTGGAGGCGGTCGGTCAATTAGCGTCTACGGACCCATGCGCCGTCCTTGACGGACAGTGTGTTCTATGGGGAGACGACTGACAGCAATCAGGCCTGACTTATTTGTAGGGGGTGTTGCTTTGGTGCATGTCTCTCCTGAGGTCGGTGGGAGGGGAGGGGCACTGTCACAGTTGGC